AGGGCTTATGGTGCTCAAATCCTATTTTAATCCAGCTTGGGATAATTTCAATGTCCATGAACTGTGGGACATAATCAGGAAGACCTGGGTAACACACTATGACAAGGTAACATGGTGTAACACCCCAGATTGTGCAAATGTTGGACATGGCTGGAAGTGGTTGACTCTGGGAAGACCAGAGCCTGACCTGCCAGACAAGATCCAAGGCAAGAGAGTTGTCTGGGCCCACTACCAAAAGGTAGATGGTACTGCTTCGTACTGGTCAATTGACTCAGAGGCGACCAAGAGGCTAAGGACAGATGAGTACAAGGCTAAGGTATGGGGTGACAGGCTGCCTCAGGAGGAGGATAAGTATGTTCCCAAGCCAAAGTCTGTTATCAGATGTACTGATCCTCCAAGTCCTTCTGTCAAAAGATTTCAGGATGTTAAAGGACCACTCTCCTGGGTCGTGGAGGAAGAGAAAGCTCCTGTCCTGGGTTGGAAGCGAAGGCTTCTTTTTGACTTGCACAAATCTGACTTCCTTGATTTTAATCTCCTAGTGAGCAAGAAAAGAGTCTCTAACCTAAGAGATCTTACCAACTCCTGGAGAAAAAGTGTCCTAGCAGCACATTCAGAGGCACATGGTGACCTACCTGAAGACATGGATACATGGGGATGCTAATCTGAAAGGGTATGGGGTGGTATAAAGTTGAAAGGCCTTGGGGGATCAAAACCCAAACAACCCACCCCACCCAACTACCCAAACACCCAACCCACCCAATACAACCACCAACTCAACCAAACAGTTGTTACTATATCGGGTTATAATATAAACATTTATATACATATATAAACTATATATTACTTCTATTTTCGGATTAGCCTTGGTACATGCTTATTAAGCATTGGAAATGCTTATATAAGGATGTTGGGATGTTTCTAACGAAACATCCCACTGTTTCTGTGCACAGACCTCTCCCTAAAGTATAAATACCTTAAGGGCAAAAGGCTGATGAGTCCTCAGACGAAAGCGCTTGTATTCCTTGTGGGATAAGGCACTTCCTTTTGCTCTGTCATTTTCTCATCATTACCATTCTAAAACACTCGATTTCTAAAACACGCAATTACTACTTTTGCCACCCAACCCAACCGACTCAACCCGACTCAACTATCCTAAACCCAACCCCTCCGCCGGTTGCGCCCCCTTATATATACTATCCCCTTTCACTACACCGGTTGCGCTATACACTCCCACTCTCCTATCCCCTCTCCTTCTCCTCCCTCTTCCTCTTCCTCCTCTTCTTCTCTCTTCTCTCTACTCCTCCGGTTCCACCACCCTCTTCTCTTTCACTTCCCCTTCTCCAGTTCCCACCTTCTCTACTTGTCTGCTTGTCGGCTTGTCGGCTTGTCGGCTTGTCCAGTTATCCCGTCCCCCACCAAGTTCCACAGTTCCACAGTCCCAAGTCTAGTCTACTTCTCCCCTTGTCCAGTTCTCTGCTTGTCGGGTTCCCCACAAACTTCCACAGTTTTCACCTTCCCTACTTCCACTTCCCCCTGAGCCAGTTCCCACCGAGTCTACTTGTTGTCCCCTTCTCAGCTTCTCGGGTTATCCCGTCCCCAGTTCCACAGTCCCTCAGTCTAGTCTACTTGTCCCCTTCTCAGCTTGTCCGCTTGTCGGGTCCCCCACAAACTTTCACAGTTCCCAAGTCCAAACCTTTTTTTGCTTCCTTCTCTAGTTCTCTAGTTCCAGCCTTGTCCCATTCTTGCCTTCTTGTCTTCTTGTCTGGTCTAGTTCCACTTCAAACTTCAGTTCTCACTTTTTTTACTTCCTTAGTTTTGCTTCTTCCCAAGTCTAGTTCTCTAGTTCTTGCACTCAAGTGAGACTTCAAACTCAAGTCTCCACTTTTTACTTCCACAGTTCCGCATTTTCGCTCCTTACCTTGTCTAGTTCTTGTCTTCTCACCTTCTCGCCTTGTCGCATTGTCATATTGTCGTGTTGTTGCCTTGGTGCCTTGTCTAGTTCACCTTCTTAGCTTCCAAACTCACACTTCAAACTTCAGTTCTCACTTTTTTTAGTTCAACAGTTTTCCATTTTTGCTTCTTCCCTTGTCTAGTTGTCTAGTTGTTTAGTTGTCACCTTGTCGTGTTGTCGTGTTGTCGCATTGTCGCATTGTTGTGTTCTTGTGTTATTGTCTTCTCAAGTCCTTCTCAACTCAAGTTCTAACCTCTTCTCCCGACTTTCTCACCTTCCACTTTCTTCCTATCAAAAATTGTCTTGTGGCTGTGCAAAAAAGTGCACAGCCACTTCTCTTTTTTTCCTTTTATAATTTTCACTAAAATCACACCTTCCTAACCCTCTCAACCATTTCAATTTTCGTCCATCCAGTCAAAAGTTATTTCACTTTTATTTCACTTGCACCCTCACTGCACCCTCCTGCACCCTCGAAATTTATTTTCCAAAAAAAAATATTAAAAATTTCCATTCCATTCTATCTTCTAAATATATCACTCTGAAAAAGACCCCATATTTATATCTATTTTTTTCACCTAGATATTTCACTTTTTATTTCAGTTGCACCCTCACTTGCACCCTCTGCACCCAAGTGCACCCTCAAAAAAAAATCTCTCCAAAAAATTCCAAATAAAATACTTTCCCACTCTAGTTGCTCACCATATTCCACTCCAAAAAACCCCGCATTTTTCCCTATTTTATTCGTCCACTTATCAATTTATTTATTATTTTTTTCCTCTAAATTTTATTTTCCCCATATCTCCTTACCCAGAGCAGCTATTCACATCCTCTTTTTTTCATCCTGTAGATCTCCCCTACAGCTACCTGGAATGCCTATTGCCGCCCATAATTCTCAAAACTGACTGAGAAAACATCGAGGCTTCAGGTCAAGGGTGCAGGGTGCAGAAATGTCCACGCTTATAACTTTTCAACGGCCGAACCAAATTTCAAATGATTGGTACCGTTAGAAAGGTGTGATTTTTCTCTTTTTTTCAAGCCCGGAAAATCCCGAGGGTGCAGCGGCAATAGCCTATCGCCCCCCCCTTCTATAGAGTTCTACTTCTCCCCTTGTCCCCTTGTCTGCTTGTCCGCTTCCCCACAAACTTCCACACTTTTCACCTTCCCTACTTCCACTTCCCCCTTCTCAGCTTCTCCCCTTGTCCGCTTGTCGGGCCCCCTCCAACTTTTACAGTTCCCAAGTCCAAACCTTTTTTTGCTTCCTTCTCTAGTTCTCTAGTTCCAGCCTTCTTGTCTTCTTGTCTTCTTTCTTCTTGTCTTCGAAAGTCACACTTCAAACTCAAGTCCCCACTTTTTTTCCTTCCACAGTTCCCCATTTTTGCCACCAGCCTTGTCTAGTTCTTTAGTTCACTTTCTTAGTTTCTCAACTCACACTTCAAACTTCACTTCTCACTTTTTTTTAGTTCCTTCTTCCCTTGTCTAGTTGTTGCCTTGTTGCCTTCTTGTGTTCTCCTGTTGTCACTTTGTTGTCTTCTCACCTTCTTGTCCCCTTGTTGCACTCAAGTGAGACTTCAAACTCAAGTCTCCACTTTTTTTACTTCCACAGTTCCGCATTTTTGTCACCAGCCTTGTCTAGTTCTTTAGTTGCGTTGTTGTGTTGTTGCCTTGTCTAGTTGTCTAGTTCACATTCTTAGCTTCCAAACTCACACTTCAAACTGAACTTCTCACTTTTTTTACTTCCTTAGTTTTCCATTTTTGCTTCTTCCTTCCTTGTGTTGTTGTGTGGTTGTGTTGTCACCTGTTCTAGTTGTCGCATTCTTGTCTTCTCAAGTTCAAGTTCAAACTGAACTTCTCACTTTTTTTAGTTCAACAATTTTTCATTTTTGCTTCTTCCCTTGTCTAGTTGTTTAGTTGTCGCATTGTCGCATTGTTGTGTTGTTGTTTAGTTGTCGCATTGTCGCGTTGTTGTGTTGTTGTATTGTTGTTGTCTTCTCCACTTCAGTTCTAACCTTTGTTACTCTCTTCTCCTAACTTTCTCACCTTCCACTTTCTTCCTATCAAAATTTTTCCTCTGTGGCTGTGCAACAAAGTGCACAGCCACTTCTCTTTTTTTGATTTTATAATTTTCACTAAAATCACACCTTCCTAACCCTATCAACCATTTCAATTTTCATCCATCCAGTCAAAACTTATTCCACTTTTAGTTTCACTTGCACCCTCACTGCACCCGAGTGCACCCTCCAAATTTATTTTCCAAAAAAAATTATTTTAAAATTCCATTCCATTCTCTCTCCTAAATATATCACTCTGAAAAACACCCCATATTTATATCTATTTTCTTCACTAAGATATTTCACTTTTAATTTCACTTGCACCCTCACTTGCACCCTCTGCACCCGAGTGCACCCTCGAAAAAAAACTTCCCCAAAAAATTACAAATAAAATATCTTCCCATTCTATTTGCTTACCATATTCCACCCAGAACACCCCGCATTTTTCCCTATTTTTTTCGTCCACTTATCAATTTATTTATTCTTTTTTTCCTCTAAATTTTATTTTTCCCATATCTCCTTACCTAGAGCAGCTATTCACATGCTCTTTTTTTTATCTTGTAGATCTCGCCCACAGCTACCTGGAATGCCTATTGCCGCCCATAATTCTCAAAACTGACCGAGAAAACATCGAGGCTTCAGGTCAAGGGTGCAGGGTGCAGAAATGTCCACGCTTATAACTTTTCAACGGCTGAACCAGATTTCAAATGATTAGTACCGTTAGAAAGGTGTGATTTTTCTCTTTTTTTCAAGCCCGGAAAATCCCGAGGGTGCAGCGGCAATAGCCTATCGCCCCCTCCTTCTATAGAGTTGGTCAATAACATTGATCATCTGAGGTCGTACTCATGTTCACGAGCACTAGTACGATCTAAATCATTCTATACCTATCACTCCACCCAGGTCGTAGTAGTGTTCGCGAACGCTTGTACGACCCTCAACACCCAACACTGTGATCTAATTATTATTATTATTATCAACAGATTCATGCATGGCTGGATCCCATGTCCATCTACCTTATGGACTGGCCGAAAGAAGATCCCTCCGACCGTTCATATGTTCTTTTCGACTCCTTTCACCGGGATAGTTCCCTTACTTGTGCGTGGAATGTTGAGCTTGTGGTGAGTATGGCAAAGTTGTCATTAATCATCAATTGCATCTCATGATGGCTATCCTTCCAAGTTCACCATGCATGTACTTTCAAACATGGTCCCCCATTTTTCCAACTGGGTCGTTGAAATGACACATAGTCCTGACTATGTTCCGATTCCAGTCCCCAAAGATACCAAATTCCCTTCGGATTTCTTCACCAAAGTAAGCATCTACGAAGAGAAAGCGAAGGGAAAGGGAAAGGCCTCCGTGGATGACTCCTTCCCCAAAAAACCAGATCCACACAACAATGGTCTCTTTGGATCTGGGGTATTGGAACTCAGCTGGCACCAGGAGTGTCAGTATTGGCGGACAACTCAGGAAGTTTTTCGCACGTGGAACATGCAATCGCAAACACAGCGAGACCATGTTGCATACCGCAATTCAACAGACCGTCTTCACCGGGCGATGGCTGTATACCAGCCAATCAAGATTGCTGAGGGAAAGGGTTCAAATACCCATCGCCTCTCGTCCAAATTCCGCATCGCCATGGTGCTCCTATCCCGTCATGATACCAAATGCCGTCGCCCCCTGATGCAAGGCAATGGTATTACTCCATTTCTATACCTCTCACTTCTAAATGCCCTCAAGCCTTGGACTGACGAAGATCCCAGTGACTTCGACTTTGTCATTGGCCATGCCAAGAATTCGAAGCAAAACAAAAATGAGTACATCCAGAACCCCGCTCTCTCTTTTTGTTCGACAGCTCCAGGGCATTGGTGATGAGTCTGGGGATGAAGTTGATGAAGAAACTCATTTGGGGGGCTACAAAGCATGTCGACGAATCCATGCAGGTGACATCCGAACTCTTCGTGATGCATTCAAGGACATGGGCTGGGTCCACAGGGGGGACAATCGCAATGGCCCAATGGACGATAACCTCATTAATGCATGGAATGCATTTGAATCCGTAAGTTGTATACCAAATAAATATTTGTGATGCAGGATAATAGATACCAACCTGCTGCTTAGGCACTCCGACGCCACTCAATACTTTCATCTCTCAACCATGTCATTAGCAGAGAGCAGAAGGACATTGGCAAGACGACAATCAAGGGTTCCCTGTATGACGATGACCTTGATGTCAAAGAGTGGTTGCAATCATCTGGGTGGGAGTTCAGCCCAACGTTTTACAAAGGACCGGTAAGTTTTAATAATAATAATATTGATCATGGTCTCAATTGCTGAGTGATTCTGCTGTTCAGCAACGGTCCACTAACTCCAAACCGCTCCCCGACTTCCTGAAAGGGAGTAATGATTTTAACACTGTGGTCAAAGTGAGTTCACTCAACTGTTTGATGATTCTGGGCATCCCACTCAATAATTATGAACGTCCACCGCATCATATCCAGGCCAATCGTGACACCGTGATGAAGGATCTGGAGGAGAAAGAGGATGAAAGTGAAGAGGATGAGGACAAGGAGGACGAGGACGAGGATGAGGATGAGGATGAGGAAGAGGACAAGGAGGACAAGGATGAGGATGAGGATGAGGAGGATGAGGGTGAGGACAAGGATCATGAGGGAAATAATAAGGATGATGTCAGGGGTAACCCTACAGCATCGTCCTCACCTCTCACTTCGCTAGGTGACACACCTCCACCACCCACCAAACGTCCTCGCCCTCCTGGGTCCTTACCAACATCTCCATCTGCCATGCCAACCAAACGTGGCAGAACCGCTGCTGACCCAATCCCAATTGTTTCTGTGCCCACCCGACAGAGGGCTCGAGGCACCACCTCCAAGACGACTGGTCCCTCATTGTCAAAAACGAAACAGAAAGGTGATGATGGAGACCTGGTGCCAAACACCACTGGTCTCAAAAGGCTCGGGGAGTGAGTCCCTCTTCCGCTGATTGTCCTGATTATTGTATTCTTGTATATACAATATGATGTCCACCCACACGCATATATAAATATGATTTTGTCGAAATGATTCCAGTAATTATTATTCCAGACCTCACCCAAGGGATCGTATTGATGTTCGCGAACATTAGTACGATCTGGAGTTGACAAAGCTGGTAAAAATGCTGTCAGGTGAAGATGGCATTGAATAAAATATATGATCCCAGGGAAGGGTTGTCACTAGAGTTGTTTGATAGTGGTCGTATTTATGTTCGTGAACACGATGACGACCAAGAACTTTGCGGTTGTATTGTTGTTCGCGAACACGGATACGACCTATGGTGAACAAGGAAGGGTTGTTGCCATTTTTTTTGTAGAAAGTTGATTTGATAGTGGTCGTATTTATGTTCGCGAACATGATGACGACCAAGTTCTTGGAGTATAGGTTGTTTCCAATAATTGATTATTGTGTATGTTGATATTTGCAACCACCACAACGAGCAACTGGCTCAGATATGGTACTAGTTATTTGCAATTGTGTTTTGAAATTCCCAATCCATTGAACATCTCTCTTTTGGCTGACTGAGCATTTCTGCAACCCTCTTCCTCCTCACCGCCATGGCAAACTTTGGGGATCCCGACAATCATCATGATGTGATCGAGCCAGTCCCCATTGAAGCAACAATCCCACCTTTTGACCTGGAAAATCCACAGGCTGAGGAGGCCTATGGATCAGTAAGGCAGGATGTGATTGCTGGGGCCATGATAGGCACAAACAATACTGCCTCCACCATCCGTGAACGAGACCGCTACTATCGGAGGGCTGAACAACTCTTGAAGCTCAGCCTCCTCCAAAGACTCTATGAAGAGGGAAGTGGTGCAAAGGCATTACGCCTCCTAAAGATGAAGAACAGACTGGATGTCGACGCAAAGTTTTACAAACCTGGAAATTCCGCTCTCTTTACATACCGGATGGAAGGTCACCATATTGACTTCTCACTCAAAGTCCCTGATCGCATGGGTTTTGATGTCATCCTCCCTCCCCCCTCCATTGGTGTGAACACCACCTGGTGTTTCAACCTGAACTTGCTAGGATCCGTCCGGCCATTCTTGAACCACAGAGGCGACCTTGGTTTTGACCCAACAGGCAGAATGCTGTTCATTGGGACACACAACCATGACAACGTCTTCCTTGCAATGGCACCACGGACCTTTGTTGAGGGCGATGATGAGCCAGTGGCACCGGGGACTCAATCTGGGCCCACGACGATGACTCACACTCATGTCCGGATGGCAACATGCATCATTCTCTGGGCAATGGGCCGCATTCCACACCGAGACTATTCGACACACAGCCTCTATATCGATTTGGGTGAAAGACTTGACAAGTACAGAGCCATCGCGGATTGGGTGTAGGTTGACACTGCATTACTTGCAATATTCCCTTGCTGATGCTGATCAAAATAATAGCTCGAAACAATCTTTCAAGGCAATGCTAAACCTCCCAGATGTCCGCTCCATGCATGACACGATGCAGCTTTATGAATCTCATTTCTTTTCCAATGCGCCCGAAGAATGGCATGATGACCCTTGGTTTGAGGAATCAGTGCCCCTGATTGTTTCGATGAAGTATGGTCAAGACCTTCCTCTGGATACAGAAAACTTTCATCAGACGATCACAACATTTGACCACAATAATTCCTTTGAGCACATATCACGATGGAGCTTGGCACTTGCAAGCCACCTGCGGTAGGCTGTTACGCCAATATATGATAAAGATTCCTTTGCTCATGATGTCTTGACTCCCTAGTGCTCTTCCTGTGGCGAAAATGCAGAACATTGATCCAGCTACCATCCTAGAAGCACGTGGAATGGTATTTGATGAGAATGAGCAAGAAATTACGGATCTTGCCAGTCTTCCCTATGAGGATATAGATGGAAAGGAGATCAAGATATTTGATTTGGAGGGGACACTCGTTCCACGAAGAGTCCCATTCTTCAGTCCAACAGCCCCAGCAGGAGGCCCACTATTCCAGTTGGACAATGTCACCTCAATGTTTGATCACTTCCACCATGGGGACCGGAGTGGCCATGTCGATGTGTCCATATATCCCCAAGCCTTCATGACACGGTATGGGCATTTACAAGCCAATACTGTCCTCCCTGAATTCCACCAGGCAGCACAAGCCATCAACAGTGGTCTACTATCTCGTGAGAGGCCAGTGCAGACATCTAGGGACCATGACAGTCCGGTGGGACAGGATGAGGAGGATCCAGACTATCAGCCCTCAAACCGATCATCACCATCGGATGATGATCAACCGCTTGCTGGAGAAGAACTGGATGAGGTTGAGGACCTGCTGCATCAGCATGCGGTGGAGCCAGTCAAAGGGGTCTTCTTCCAGGGATACAATCTTCTCCAGCATCGGATTGCACGGCGATCAGGAGGAGCAGAAACCATGCATGGCGTGGTCACTGCAGCTCTTGCTGGAGATTATGCCCAACACACTGAACGTGCGAAAGCTGAAGAGATGTTTTCGTATGTTGAGAGAGAGATGCCATTTGACAGGATGAAGGCCAAGCTCAACTCGGATGTCAAACCACCAACTGATCTCCGGCTAGAGAACTATTGGACTGTAAACTTTACAGGCATTGCCGAGAAGAAGCGGACTGGAAGGTGAGATGGCAATAATAAATCTTTATTTTATGGTCAAGTGGTACTGAAGTTCATAATATTCTGAAGGTCTGTGTTCGAAAAGATCATCACCCCCCTTCTAAACACATGGGTTGACCCATCATTGGTGGAAAAACTCAGACATCATATGGTAATCTTCGAACCAGAGGTGCATATAAATATTGCTTCTTCGACGGGCCTGAATAAAGTTAATATTGTCACATTTAGGTTCTTCAACAAACATACCTTTGGACAACCTATCCTCTGTTCTGGGGCATTGATCACATATACCATTGCGAGGTCCAATGCAAAAAAGAGGGACACCCACCAAACCTGCTGCGGCGCGAGTTGGTTTCTGCCCTTGAACGGGCTGGAAGTTTTGGGTTTTGTGGAGCAGGCAGAGTGTTATCCACATATGTGATGGACCCTCTGCTGCTATCAGTGGGGATCAAAGAAACTGGATTCCCATCTCTCAGTGACGTTGTCAGCATCCACCCAGAACGCATGGAAAAGATTGAAGTTGATGCTTCTAAATGGCCTCGAGATCCTGATGGGGTTCCACGTTTTGCTTCAAAGCGTGTAGTGCTTTATCACTATTCCCAGAGCACATATGAAGTAAGTGTCCACATTTCTCTCTGACTTGCAATTGGTGATTGGCAAGGTCAATGGTTGTTTTTCTGCTCGCGAGCACTTGTACGACCTTCCATCATTTTCTGGTTGTTTATGGTAACATAAATAATCATTATGATGGTCGTCATTGTGTTCGTGAACACCAGTACGACCCAGCCTTGTCATTTTATGGCCACTCCCAATGAACCAGATGCCAGAGGCTGACCACATTATTGATATTTCTAGAGAATAAAGGCAACCTGCTTCATTGAGCTGATCCACAAGGGTATCCATACCGATATCAGTCTTACCTCCCTCCCACTGCCAAGGGAGAAGAAAGTGATCCGATCACTGGCAATTTATGCAGTTGAAACACTTGAGAAGGATGCCTTGTATGAGATTGAAAAAGGAATCAAGAAATTCATCCAAGGATGCTTACCCACAGCAGATCAAGAGCAGCGACAACGCCTGAAGCGTCAAGAAGACTCACTCAAGGCACTAGTGCAGTGTCAGCACCCATTTGACAATTCCCGCAATGCTACAGAACGTCAGATTCTTGCACTCGCCACCTCCAGCCAGACCATTCACACCATATTAAAAAACCTCCCTCACATGGATGTCTATGAATGGGTCCGGCATCTGTATGACATGGTTTCTCCCCCAGACCCAGCTAAGGAGACATCAAGGAAGAGCACAAGTTCACGTCTGGGTGCACCCTTGTTTCAAGGAGGGTCTGCCCAAGAGGTGCTGATGCAAGTGTTTGCAGCATTGCGGGAACTTTCCACTGGCTATGGTTCCTGGCAGGCACAACGGGAGTTCTGCATTGAGGCCATCGTGTACCAGATGGATTTAAGTCGCATCTACCGATACCCTCATTCTCACACCTATCCCTCTGGGAGGCAAAGTCTTTGGGCTCAGTATCATTCATGGGTGGATTTGGTGTACCCAACCCAGAGCCAAAGATCAATGCATTCTGACACAATGACTGATCCTGATCGCCTTGCTGCTAGGATTGCCAGCACCCAGATTGCAGACAGCAACCCACAGGCATCATGGAATTGGATGGAGACAAAGCTGTCTGACCTTACATGGATTGTCAAGCGGTCTCGACTCCCACTGGACTGGATTCAAGCAGAGCAGCTGGAGAACCCAGTGTGCAATGAACTGACAGAGTGGCTCAAAGAAAACTATGACCACTTGGATGCCAGATTTCACATAAGCCTCATTGCTGCATTGGTTCTCACAGCCTGGGCTCCGTCCCATCGAATCAAACATAATGAGGGCAACATTCCATCAGAACGCAAGAAAGGCGCAAACATGGTGGAGTATGCACACAGCCTTGTATGGGATCATGAATATTGGACAACTCAATCAGGATGGAAAGCCAAAGTGCCACTCTTCCACCTGTGGCTGATCTTTATCTCAGCCATTGTAGTGGAGGAGAGTCCTTGGTGGCAAAGGGAGGAACGAAAAGTGCGGACTCAATCAATCAAAAAGGCATCCCGTACACCTGAGCAGGAGGAGAATACAAATATGATGAGTGCTTTTCATACCAAACTACGTATGTCCTCCCACTTATGTTCACACTGGCTTAGAGGAGCTAACAAATAATTATTATTTATTCTTCACAGAGCGGAAAGGAATCACAGTGGCTATCCTTGCCCGACTCAATCTGGTGGAGGCCTGCAGTCCCAATGCTTTCAAACCAGGAAGCCGCTTTCTGAAGGACTGGAAACTCCATACAAAGGCAACGCTTGGAGCTGGGCTGGCAACGGTTTACAAGCACCTGGCACAACCAGCACACATGTGTCCTGTGTTCTGTGCAGTGCGTCACTTCTTGGGTGATGAGTGCCGCAGACTACACATAGGAGAGAAATTCCGGGTCCCAGCCTTTAAGATGCGTGTCCCTTCCAACTCATTGAGACACAAGGCTTCAGAACAATCCCTACGTGAAGATTCAGAGTCATCAGATGATGATGATGAAAATCCTGGGGTGAGTGCCCGTCCACGCAAACGTCATCGCATCCTCTAGCCATACTCTTGAGAACCTGGTCATCATCATATATTTGTGTACATAAGTACAACTGCAATCACAACTCTGTTTTCATGCAGGCATGGTCGTATCCATGTTCGCGAACAACGATACGACCCAACTGATAGCCATTTTTTTGCAATCTCATTCATGTTTGCTACCTTATCATTGTGCATACACATCAGTATGGCCCTGTAAACAAAATGAAGATAACAGTTGCACAACACATCTAGCCAAGTTTGTCCAGAGGTCATACTAGCGCTTGCAAACAGGAATACAACCTTACCGTATGCATCAGTTTGGAAAGATGTGAAGATATACCAAGTCAGTGTGGAGGTCGTACTAGTGCTCGCGAACAGTAATACAACCTCGCCACCTAATAATTATTCTTCAAAAATCAACCAGGTTATCTTATTGTTTGCAAGCGTGAATATTGACCTTAGCATTGACTTGTAGATGGGAATTATGAGTTTAGAAAATGTGAAAAAATATGTCAAGTCAGTGTGGAAGTCGTACTAATGCTCGCGAACACCAATACAACCTTGCAACATCATTCTTCAAAAACCAACCAGGTTATCTTATTATTTGCAAGCATGAATATTGACCTTTACATTTTGACTTATAGATGGAAGTAATACGACCACAGACCAGTCTTTTTTTTTCCTATACAAGGAGCAGGATCTGAGATGCTAGGGGATGACTGCTTTTGCTGGAAGTTTGGAAATCCTACTACGACCATGGGGGACTTTGGCATCGACACGGGGTCATACACCAACCCGAACCAGTGGGTTTATTTAACCTATAATTGTTGCTCTCCTGGGCGGATCCTGAGATAGGGGACAGGAGAAGCAGCTCGCGTTTGGGAGTTGTGCAAGTCGACACTAGTTGCCATGACTGTTGCCACTCAAGACAGCGCCAATTCTCCTGGCGGACTCCACGATGGGGCACACACAGGATGGCTTCATCATTTGAAGTTCCACCACATTTCTCAGAGTTTTTCCCAAGTCGGACGCATCGTTACCACGATACACAAGCCCCTTCCTGAGCCAGACGACCATTTAAACCACATTCCTCTCACTTTCATTTCGATTTCCCCCGAGTGTTCACAGCGTCGCTGGTTCAAGCCCAAAGAGCTAAAGCCTCCCGGCCAGCTTGGAGTTCCCGCTTTTGATGACGGTCCAGAGCCCGTGCACTCGCATGATGCCCCAGAGACAAGTCCAGTACACGACAGCGCTGAGCACAAGCTAGAAGAGCTAAGGCCGGGAGACCTTAGTGACGAGAATCCATTCATTTTCGAACGCGAAGCCGATCACGTTCTCCAGTACCAAGTTGCGCGCACGGCAAAAGCCTTGGTATAGAGCCAGTTGACGATGGTGGGGTGAGGTGGGTGTTGATGGTTGGATGGTTGGATGGTTGGGTGATTGAGCGCGACAAGATCCCGTGGGAAAGTTCTGAGGTCACATGGCATTCAACACCATGCGGACTTCTTTCTTTCTTGAATCAGCAGTTTTTTATCTTGACTCCAGTCTCAAGCGGCAACAATCTTCTTGTATTTGACTCTGGGACTCCAGATGCTTGGATCCTTTTACTTCTTGTGTTCAGTGATGTAAATCGTCGATATGCGCAGTAGAATTAAAACTCAAATGGAAACAACAGCATGGTTTCACATGTAAAAATAAGTGCCTCTAAAGGGATCTGTGTGCTTTTGTCAGCTTGAGGAAAGCCTATTGCAATAGAAAGAGTGTCGGCACCTCCAGGAGGAACAGAAATACAGTGACAACTTGAGTCACAATTTTTGTGACACAACAAGCGGTGATGCACACTCTGTTCCTCCAGGGGGAACAGAAAATGCAGTGACAACTCGTGTCACAATTTTTGTGACTCAACCGGTGATGCATACTCTGTTCCTCTAGGGGGAACAGAATGCCTCTGTGACAATATTTTGTTACAATATTGTGACACAAGTGGTGATGCATGCCCATTCAAAAATTTCCACTATGCTTTCGTCAGCTTGAGGAAAGCCTATTGCAATAGAAGGAGTGTTGGCACCTCCAGGAGGAACAGAAATACAGTGACAACTTGAGTCACAATTTTTGTGACACAACAAGCGGTGATGCACACCTGTTCCTCCAAGGGGAACAGAAATGCAGTGACAACTTGTGTCACACTTTTTGTGACCAAACCGGTGATGCATACTCTGTTCCTCTAGGGGGAACAGAATGCCTCTGTGACAATATTTTGTTACAATATTGTGACACAAGCGGTGATGCACACTCTGTTCCTCTAGGGGGAACAGAATGCCTCTGTGACAACATTTTGTTACAATATTGTGACACAAGCGGTGGTGCACACTCTGTTCCTCCAGGGGGAACAGAAAAGGCAGTGACAACTCATGTCACAATTTTTGTGACTCAACCGGTGATGCACACTCTGTTCCTCTAGGGGGAACAGAATGCCTCTGTGACAACATTTTGTTACAATATTGTGACACAAGCGGTGGTGCACACTCTGTTCCTCCAGGGGGAACAGAAAAGGCAGTGACAACTCATGTCACAATTTTTGTGACTCAACCGGTGATGCATACTCTGTTCCTCCAGGGGGAACAGAATGCCTCTGTGACAACATTTTGTTACAATATTGTGACACAAGCGGTGGTGCACACTCTGTTCCTCTAGGGGGAACAGAATGCCTCTGTGACAATATTTTGTTACAATATTGTGACACAAGCGGTGATGCATACTCTGTTCCTCCAAGGGGAACAGAAATGTGGTGACAACTTGTGTCACAATGTTTGTGACCCAACCGGTGATGCATACTCTGTTCCTCTAGGGGGAACAGAATGCCTCTGTGACAATGTTTTGTTACAATATTGTGACACAAGCGGTGATGCACACTCTGTTCCTCCAGGGGGAACAGAAAATGTAGTGACAACTTGTGTCACAATTTTTGTGACTCAACCGGTGATGCATACTCTGTTCCTCTAGGGGGAACAGAATGCCTCTGTGACAATATTTTGTTACAATATTGTGACACAAGCGGTGATGCATACTCTGTTCCTCCAGGGGGAACAGAAGTGCATCTGTGACAACATTTTGTTACAATATTGTGACACAAGCGGTGGTGCACACTCTGTTCCTCTAGGGGGAACAGAATGCCTCTGTGACAACATTTTGTTACAATATTGTGACACAAGCGGTGGTGCACACTCTGTTCCTCTAGGGGGAACAGAAGTGCATCTGTGACGACTTTTTGTCACAATTTTTGTGACACAAGCGGTGATGTATACTCTGTTCCTCCAAAGGGGAACAGAAATGCAGTGACAACTTGTGTCACAATTTTTGTGACCCAACCGGTGATGCATACTCTGTTCCTCTAGGGGGAACAGAATGCCTCTGTGACAATATTTTGTTACAATATTGTGACACAAGCGGTGATGCATACTCTGTTCCTCCAGGGGGAACAGAAGTGCATCTGTGACAACATTTTGTTACAATATTGTGACACAAGTGGTGGTGCATACTCTGTTCCTCCAGGGGGAACAGAAATGTGCAAGCCAAAGTAAAACTTGCTAGAGTGCCCTACTGCTTGATGCCCTAGCGCTAGGGCAAGCTGAACCTGGTCCCTAGGAATTTTTTGACCCTAGGGCAGGATGACCCAGGTTAGGGCTAGGGATCCTGCCCTAGGGATTTTTCAAACCCTGGAACCCTAGGCCCCCTCTTAAGTTGCTCTACTTGGTCAAGTGGCTAGGCTATGAAGGGACCGACGAGGAGACACAATGGCTCCTTGCTGGTGAACTCGATCACGCCTCCGACCTCGTCGAAGCGTTCCACTCTCGGTATCCAGCGAAGCCTGGACCCGAAGCTCCTTAGGAACCCCGACTCCTCTCCCATTTCTCCTTTCCCCTCCGCTCCTCACTTCCGTTTTCATTTCCATTTCCTCATTTGTTTTTCTTCCTGTAAGTGCAGCTCCCCTTGTCTTACTAATTCTGGGCCTTCAAGGGTTCAGGCCTAAGAAGGGGATACTGTCATATCCATTCCCGGCCATCGACTTCCGGTCCCTCCGATCCCTCCGATCCAACTCCGCTCCTCCCTCGGAGCCCCCATTATTCCGCAATCCTCTCGGTACCCCTCGATGGTCACCACCCCCTCATTTCAATTTATTACCTACGCCTCCCTAAGTACGGAGCCCCGAAGACTTCCGGACAGCTCCGACGTCCGCTAGCGCACCCCCGCCTCCGCTGGGCAATACACTCGCCTGCCCTGCAGAGCCCACCTTCGGGCCTATCCCTCCTTTCCGTTTCTGGGTTATCGCCTGCCTTTCCGCTAACCCCGTGAACCGACTCGTCGGTAATATTCAGTCGGCTAATGGTTAAACCCCGTTAGCTCCGCTCCGTTCGGCTCCGCCAATTGCGGAACCGTCTCCGCTGTAACCATATATATATCCCACTTGTACATAGGTTACGCCCCAGTAGAAAAATCAACTAGAGTTACCCCCCTAGGTTCTAATTGCCAGTCAGTAAGTTAGGGCACGGACGTGTCACTAGGCACAGCGCTCTTGGCAGAAGTCGCTGAGGCCGAAGCCCTCCATCACGGAGACATTCTTTCGTCTCGACCCTGGTCTCTGACAGCCTCGGGCGATACACCCGGGCACTCTCGACCCCGGGTCGGTCCCTGACACCTTCCTTAATCCGGACATTGTTGAAACCCCATCTGAGGTCCAAGACAGAGAAGTACTTTGAGCCTCGAAGACACTTGAGCACATCTGACACAAGTGGGAGTGGGTATGAGTTCTTTATGAGTTCTTCACTGTGATTTCATTCAGCTTTCGGTAGTCTTGAACAAGTTGGAGGGATCTGTCCTTCTTTTTAACAAAAAACACTGGGGCCCCCATTGGGGATTTAGACGGCCTGATGCGGCCATTGGCAAGGTTTTCTTGCAGAAACTCATCAAGTTCCTTTTGTTCATTTCAGGACAAAGGGAAGGTGCGTGACCATGGGAGATCAGCCCCAGGTAGGATATCTATTGCATGATCCCACGGCTTCCGCGGAGGTAATGCACTGAATGCTTCCTTTGAAAAGACGTCTTCATAGAGGCAGTAGGCCTCAGGGATCACCCCTTCTGGGGGAGGCTTCTCATCCTGCCGGGCCCTCTCTGCAAATTGCTGAGAAGGGGTAGTGGTGGCCCGAATCTCCGGCACGCTGCGCGTCGACATCATGTGGACTGCGAAGACTTCGTCTCCGGGTTCTACCGATTCTACTCTCGCGGGTACAACTCTCTGACACTCAGGTGGACATCGTGTCATCGTTACCTTCTGTCGAACCCAATCCACCTCTGGGTTGTGAAGGAGAAGCCATGGGTGGCCAACAATAACCGTCTGTTGGCCAAGGTTCGCGACAGCAAGTTTACAACGCTCAGAGTGGTCCCCAAAACCGAGGATAACGTCGACTTCTTCCGTGATGGGACCGTTCTCGTTCTGAGTCCCATCAATGTTGTGAACGGGGATGGGTGAAGCTAGGGGGGTCGTTGGCAGCTGGTGTTTGCGGACGAATTCCTTGCTGACGAACATTCCCGTGGCCCCTGAATTGAGTAATGCAGACGTCAACACAGCGGCGAGCGAAGTAGCAGACCTGAGTGAGATCAGAATGTTCATCGAGCGTGGGGTCTTCCCCGTTGTCTTTCGTGCGTCGGCTCCTTTTATTTTCATGTTCTTCTTTCTTTGTGTGACTTTAGTAATCTTTCTCGCCTTTGCCTTGTTTACAGGTTTGATTTCGACCTTCGTACACGGATATTTACAGTTTTTTGAGGCGTTTACAGGCGAGTCGCCCAGTCGGGGTGCAGCTTTCACCGACTGGCATTTCAAAAACCCTCTTCGCGGGGTTCTTCCCCTTCCATGGCACTCCCGTTCTCAACAAGCTGGTCCTTGATCAGCTGGGTTATCGTGCAAAGGTCCTCTGGGGATAAGGACGAGGGTCGTGGGTCTCCTGGTTGTCTTATTGGTGTGGGTTCATCAACCACGCAGATTCTTTGTGCGGCCACCAAGGGGCAGTTGTGTGTGATGTGGCCTGGTTGCCCACAGCTGTAGCAGACGCCGTTTCGTGGGTTTCAGCGAGGTTGTCGGGTTCGGTCGAGTTCCATGGGCTGAGGGCTAGTTGACGAGGAAGATGGGCTCGGCGTCTGCGTGTTGGGCGGGTGCGTCATGTTCTGGTGAGTGACCACAGTACTGTTTCGTTGGGGTTGAGCCCGCGTCTGGTGAGGGGACGCCCCAAAGGCACGTCCTTGGCGCATCTGGGCTTGGAAGTGATCGAACCTTCTGTGCTGACTGTCCAGGAGCAGGGCCCGTTGCTTCCACTCTTCCCAGT